GACGAGTACAAGCGTGCTTAAATGATAGTCTTTTACTGTGGTTCTATACGTATCTTAAGATTAATATTAAGAAAATGGAAGGCATAACTTACCTTTTTCTTTTCTTTTTTTTTTGAACTGTGAAGAAATCCTTGCTAGAGAAGCCCTCAGAGCTCATGTCACATTCATCCTCTTTCCTGTCTCTTACCGGATTCTCTCTCAATCAGGTAAGTAAACAGCTAAGAATCCTGCTTTGTGCTTTTAGTGTAGGATGATATTTTCTTTCCCATACTATATTAATATGTCTGTTTTTCTTTCCTTTCTTCTCCTAATATTGGTATCTTCCAAATATTTAATTGATTTTATCCCCTTTGTTTCTTATTGAGGCAGACTAGTGACTTGTGCATTATGAGCTTAAACCCTTTAACTTCTCATTAATATTGAAATTCTTGGGGCTCTGTTGTTCAGCCAAATAAATTAGTCACATTTTTTTAACCTGGGTGGTTTACATAGAGTGAAAGAAAGGGTGAGAGAAAGCAAAGGGGAAAATAAATCTGACTGGAAAATGAAGAGAAACAAAAAACTTTCAGGTTTCTTTTGCTAAGAAAAGATTAAGGTATATCAAGCATCCATGAACATGATACTTCATTTTCTTCAATCTCTTTCCTTGGAGTGAGTCTGTAACTTGACTGTCATGTCTTTCAGGAAAGATATCCAAATAACAGTATGTTCAATGAGGTATATGGGAAAAACCTGACAACCAGCTCCAAAGCAGAACTCAGTCCCTCAATGGCGCCCCAGGAAACATCTCTGTATTCCCTTTTTGAAGGGACTCCATGGTCTCCATCACTTCCTGCCAGTTCAGGTATAGCTAGTCTTTAAATTGTAGATCTTGTATTTCCTGTATACTTACGTTGATTTAGAGTTAAGTGACATTCTGTAATTATATATATATTAGGTTTTGTTTTTTTAAAGTAACTTCTGAAAGAAAATAGGAGAAAAGTCTGAGTTGGTTCATGTAATAAATGCTACTAAAAAGCTTTTTACATCCTCAGTAACACCAGCAGAGTTCTAAGGGAGAAAAATAGTTCTATCTTATGATTCTCAGCTGTTTTTAGTTTTGTTTGTAGACGTGTATTCTTTGCATGAAAAGCTGCACCTTTTTTTTGAGAAAAGGTCTCTCACTGTGTTGCCTACTGTGGACCCAAATCCTCCCACCTCAGCCTCCTGAGTAGCTGAGACTACAGGCATGTCCACCTGGATTTTACTTTTTAAAATAGGTATTTTTCACCTCAATTTTTTTAAAGAGTCTGATTTAATAGTGATTCTTAAGATCAGGAAATTCTGTTTTTGATAGAGAAGACCCGTAAATACTTACCTGAAACAAGCATGCCAGAATAGTGTGTTCAATTGAAAAAATTTTCTACTATTTTGCTTTGCTTTTTTAAGACAAAGAATATGCCTTAAATATATGCAGTAAGGCAGATTAGTGCATCTGGTCAGATTCCCTTTGAGACCCTTGTTTTGCCTTTCCTCCGAAGTCCTCTGGTTATTTTTAGGAGAATTTAAGTGTTTGGATATACAGGAAACTAGTTCTTTGTATGTTTGTGAAACATCTATTTAATGTCCTGTGTTGCTATTATTTAATAGATCATTCAACACCAGCTAGCCAGTCTCCTCATTCCTCTAACCCAAGCAGTCTGCCCAGCTCTCCTCCAACACACAACCATAATTCTGTTCCATTCTCCAATTTTGGACCCATTGGGACTCCAGATAATAGGGATAGGAGGACTGCAGATCGGTGGAAAACTGATAAGCCAGGTGAGGATCTCACTTTCATTTCCTAACAACAGTGGAAGAACTTAACTTCATCCTTCCCCAAGGTTTGGTAATTAGCAGTGATAGAATATTGTCTTGAATTCTTCTTAATCTTTTTTTATCCCTTTAGCCATGGGTGGGTTTGGCATTGATTATCTCTCAGCAACATCATCCTCAGAGAGCAGTTGGCATCAGGCCAGCACTCCAAGTGGCACCTGGACAGGCCATGGCCCCTCCATGGAGGATTCCTCTGCCGCCCTCATGGAAAGTCTAAAGGTGAGTGGATTTCAGGAACAAGAACCACACGATTCTTGCAGCAAAACTGTCTCTGCTTCCATTCACATAAATAGCTAGGCTTATTTCAAAGACCCTTAGAATTGACTGATGCATAGCACATACGTAGCAAAGTCTGATAAGCACAGTCTGCTTTACAAGTTTCTTAAATGGGAATTTTATTTTTAATTTGTGGATTCACTAGTGATAAAGCAGTATTTTCAGAGAGACGGAAACATGAAGGTTTTAGTTTTTATTCTAAGGTTAAGAAAATTCTGATTCATCTTGGAATGTTTGATTAAAGCCTTGTTCAACCAATGAAAGAGTATCTAATTTTAGGAATGTTCTGTTTGCCTAAAACCTTTATCATAAATACCCTGTAGTATCACATAGAGCTGAGTTTTAGTAAAAAGATTTCATATAAAACATAATTTTATGTTTTTAAAATAATCTTTTCTGGTTTAAAATAATCTTAATGGGAACTAACTAGTCTTGAGAGTCTTAAGTCTTTTTCTAATAGCTATATTTTTTTAGGGGGTTGGGTGGGGTTCTTAAGAAGGACATATATGCCTTTATATTTGGCTGGGATTGAAAAACAAATCCCTTTCAGACAACCAGGCATTTGACCTCTGCTGACAAGATCTGGGCTGTTTTTCAGTCTATCTGGTCCAGTTCCATGATGCATCCTGGACCTTCCGCTCTGGAGCAGCTATTAATGCAGCAGAAGCAGAAACAGCAGCGGGGACAAGGCACCATGAACCCTCCACACTGAGGCCAAAATGGCAACCCTGGGAATGAAGGCTCCATAAACCATGGCATGTTGGGTTTGCAGGACTGGCCCACACAGTCCCCTGCAGGTGGCAGCCCTCTTTTCTGTTTCTTGCTGTCAAGAGGGTGTAAGTGTTCCACCAGCCCGCTGAGTGTGCACGAAATGTTCGCAGTGCAACAAAAAGAAAAATCCATCAGGAACTCTCCGTCCCCCTGGGGCCTTCCAGAGGGAGAGAGAGAGGAACTGCTGTTTATCTCACTCAGTTACTTGATATCACCACCTCTCACCTTCTCCATCGTGCATGTCCCCAGCCACATGGGAAGTGAAAGCTGAGAAGGGAAGGCAGATGGGAGAAGCCAATGGGAACTTCTCAGTCCTTTTTTCCTCTTTGGGGAATAAAATAGGAATCCATTAATGATTGCTTTGCTGACTGAGAATGTAGTTGAAATTATTCCTAAACATCTTTTATTATTGTTATTACTCTCAGTAGTAAAATATCACACTGAATTCTTCCATACACAGATGTGCTTCTAGTCAGTGTGTAGCAAGGAAAGCCCTGTTCACTGCTCCTGTGAGAGGCTGACGGTGACAGGATGGGGAATCGACCTCCGCAGCCAGTGGCAGTGTTCCACAAGGGAGAGTTCAGGGCCTCCCGGAAGGTTCTGGCAGGCCCTCCTCTGGCCTAGAGACTCCAGCAGGAAATGCCCTTCACTCTGTAGGTGCTCGAGCCCCAGTTGAGGATGCAGCGTGGGTGGTGGTGCTGGGCTGGACTAGCAGGTGACTGCTGTAGGATTTCAAATGACGTTTTTGATTCCTGTACATTTGACGGTAGCATAGCAAGCAGTCTCACAGAAGGCAGGCTAGTCCATTCACGGCCTGACACATTTTCATAGGTAGAAGCTTTCAGTGTGGTTTTTTTTGTTTGGTTGGTTTTTGTGCCCCCTTCTACTCACCACCCTCCTGCCCGTCTCCATCCCTCGATTACCCTGTGCTGTATGCTTGTAATTGTTTTTATTTCTAATGTATGCAACATCTCGCCAAGAAGCAACAGCATGGGGTCCAGCAGTCGGGGCCCAAAAGACAGTCTGACGAGGAAGGAAGCAGCGGCGCCTGCGCAGCCTACGGAGGGGCCAGGCCCCCGCCAGCTGCGGTCTCCCAGCCTCCACTTTCAGAGTGAAATTCAAGGCGACACGGACACGTGCACAGCATGCACAGAAGAAAACACAGCGAAGTCCATTTTGGAAAATGCAAAAGAATGGAAAATAAACTTTTTATTTGATATTTATTAGGAGGAAAGAGGACTGAAAATGTTCTTGTCTAGAAACAGAAGGACAGTGTTTCTGTTAGTCATTTCCTGGAAAATATTTTAAGGGGAAATTATGGAAACAATCTCGATGTCCAATTGCTGTGCTAGTGGTAGGGTTTATTTTCTGGGAGATCTCTCCTTTGTATGTCTGTGAGTGTGTTTGTGTGCACACACGCCCACCTGCTCTCCCAGAGGGGTGGGTTGTGTGTCTGAGTGTGTGGAGTTAGCGTGGAATTTCAGAGCTGGAAAACAGCTGCAGAGCAAAGCACATCCAGGAGCCCCGGTTGTCACTGGAGTTTGGGCAACCCCAGCAATTGAAAGGGGTGAGATAATGCTCATTGCTCTTCAGAGAGAGTGGTTGGAGCCCCCTTATGCTTACATTATTGCTCTTTTAGTTCGACATGGTGTTTGGGTTTTTTGTTTTTGTTCTGTTTTTTTGAGGTCTGAAAGGGTGAAGCCCCCAACCCAATGGCAATATGAAACCCTTTGTGCTTCTCTCCAGCCCCTTCCCTGTGTCCACCTTTCTCCTCTTCCATCCCTCCCAAGCCTCTTTCCCTACTACCTTTGCCCAGTTTGTGTGTTTGAGCTCTGCATTCAGGCAGCTGCAACATTCCAGTGTTTGAACTGTCACTGATTCTTGCACCCTAGACAAGCTAACCAGGTTTACCATCTCACTCCCAGTAGTACCCAGTTCCCATCTAAAGCCCCATTCTGCATGAGAATTTGGTATTTGGAATGTTTTCTGACTCTCGGGGCGGGGTTCCTCGCCTTATCATCCTCACTGTGGAGTAATGAGGACGGGGAGGAGAATCATCACCAGAAACTGGTTTTGTGTAGTAAACTTTCTTTTGTGGGTTTTTTTTTTTTTTGTCATGTTTTGTTTTGTCTGTCTGTGCAAGACCTGCAGCTGCTGAAAATCAGCTTTGCCTTTAATTAAACCATGTTCTCTCCAACCAGATCTGTGTATAGATTATTTATTTTCTATCCTAAAAGATACAGTATTCAAGAAAATCCAACTTAAAGGCAAGAATTTCAACTACTCACTAGTTATAAAGCAAAGATGATCAGAACTTGAATATGTTTTGGGGTTATTTTTGCTTTTTATTAGCATTCCAGACCAATGAGTTATTATGGAAAGGGGTGAGTAGGAAGAAACTATCAAAATTTTTTAATAAAGCATGGTATATGTTAAGGAGTTAATATCCCACTACTTTTATCCCTATTGTAGCTGTTAATGAGGCAGTTCAGAGATAGTTTATCCTTTGGCCTATAAAATTCAATAAATCTGATTAGCAGTTAACAGTATATGCTGTTCTTAGCTTTGGGTTGCGTTTCTTCGAGGTGAGTCTGAAGTCCTCAATTGTAGCTTGCTGGACCTTCAATTGTGCTGGTGTAAGCCAGTGCTGTAGCTCACCGTGAGGTCTGTGTGCTCACGCTGATCAGCTGTCCGTTCACCTAAGTGTTGATTCAGTCTGCAGTTCACTTCCTAACTCTGCTTTTCACAAGCACCTACGCACTTAAACAATTGTTAGTAAAGCTACACGTACTCTCAAGAAGAAGGGAGGAAGGGGAATTAAAGCCAGGTATTCAGGTCTAGTATCCATGGAATCATTCACTCAAGTTAACCCTAAAAACCTGGATCATTGGGTTAAACGATAACCAAGTAAAACCACAGCATTCTATCTATGTTTAGATACACAAATTCTTGATAATGGTGTTACAATTGCCTACAGTATTCGGTACTGTAACGTGCTGTGCACATTTGTAGCTTGAGAGCAACAGGCTATGCTATATAGATGTGTAGTAGGCTGTACCATCAAGGTTTATATAGCTGTGTTCTGTGATGTTCACACAACTACACATTTCTGTCCTTGTCATTCAGGGACTGTATTATAATAACTTAATAGGATTAGTTATTAATCAACTGACTTCCTGAACAGCTTCTCATCACTTACGTGTTAATGGCATATATGCAATATTGAAATCTTAACAAATGTTCCTCTGTGAGAAGGCATAAAGAGATATAATTCTAGTATTTTAATTCCCTGTGGAATTGAATGTTATATTCCATGAGAACTTAACTCAGTCCAGGTTCTATGTAAGGAATGAGACTTAATGAAAAAAAAGAAAACAGTATTTTATATGTCTATGCCTTCTGAATTACTATAAGGTTACTTTAAGCCTTATAAGAGTCTGCAATAGTATGGTACAGGAACTGGAATGTTTATACTTAGCTCTTGGGTCTGGACTCTTGGTGTCTTGTTTTGTTTTTGTAAGATTTAAGTTTTTTTTTGAGGTATCACATGGAGAAGTGCATCAATCATAAGTATATGGCTCAGGGAAGTTTTACAATGTGGCTGCATCTGGGTAGCCAGCACTCAGAACAAGAAACAGATTATCAACACCCTAGAAGACCCTTCAGATACTTCTACTCACTCCTCCTCCCCACAACTCCGCTGCCTACTGTACCCCAGGAAACATCATCCTGGGTCCTCACATCATTGTCTGATAGGTTAAATTTTAACAGGGAACATTTAGGTTAACACTTCAAAACTATAATGTCCAGGTACATTGTACAGCAGAGATGTGCTAAATCTTGGAAAGAAAAGATTCCTTTTGTTTGACTTTGTAGGTTGTGAAACATCCTAGACTTCTCTAGGAGAGGTTTTCAAACCTGTAGTTGCACATTCTTCAACAAAAGCTTTGGGGAAAATGCCAAACTTCCCTTTGCACTCCCCTTCCAGCCATTCTTCATTCACTGATAAAAGAAAAGGTACACGTGGATTTCCAAAACCAGTATAGATCTTTAGTCAGTCATACCCACCTCCCCCCCCCCAAGTGTGATAACAGGAAAAAGAAAGTATTGGAAACTGATTTGAGGTTAGAGAGTGGGCATACGGTTTAAGCATCTTACTACTGATTTCTGACTTAGACATGATAATGAAAGAGTAAAATGCAGAAGAATGAATTACATGTTTTTTAGAAAGTTACCAAATAGAGAAATAAGGTGAAATAAATTGAATAATAAATCCTTAGATACGATTTTTTTAAGAAGGGGAATTTTATCTGAGCTTTGTTGGGAATCTGTTTTAATGGGGCATGCCATTGGTTAAATATATTAAAAGCGAAAATTCACTGTTCATTGACTCATCAAAGAGTTGAGAGAACTAGTAATGGGTTTAGTACATGCTTGTAAAATATAAAGATTTTAATAGCACTTATTTTGAGCTTTTTAAATAGAGTGCAGGCATTATACTAGAGTATGTATACAGTCAGACTTCATAATGATACAGTTGTAGATATTAGCTATATTTTACTAAAGGAAAAGGAGACCCAGAGAGTTTAATAGTCTGTGCATTAATTCCAAGAACTATAGTTTGCAGAAGGTAAGCATCGCATGGCTTGGTGCAAAGGCAAAATGATTCCAGCAAATTTGTGAACTCTGGGAATAGGATCCATGGGCTCCAAAACATCTCCATCTTTAATAGTCAAGATGTTATCTCAGTCGGCTAATTGTTGCTTCCCTGCCCATTAGAGCGACAGATAGGGAAAGGCTGAGCACTCAGTTTTGTTCCCTCCAGCTAAACACTAGAAAGGAGATTGAAACCACTGGCTTCAGTTTGATTTGTATGTTATTGATGCATTCTCTCTGCCCTTGACCTTGTTTCAGTCAACATGTACATTAGTTTCTATAATCTTGGAGTAGTGCTTACCCTTTGATAGCACCAGGATTACATCCCCTTCCGCAAATTCCAGGTCCTCTGGTTGAGTGGCCTCATAACTGAAGAGTGCTACCACTTGGGTCCCTTCCTTAAGCTGAGCTGCTGTTGGATGGTTATTAGCATCGGATTTTTCTGTTTCCTTGGGTTCATCCGGAAAGCCTTGGTCACCCTGGAATAAAAAGGGGCCTGTTAATTTTGCTGATTCCCTGGCCAGTGGGCATTGAACATCACTAAAGGAAACAGTGAAATGTCATAGTAGAACCTGGGCTATAAACTCAAAGGCAAGTTTGTGATCAGTGCCTAGTATAGACCTAATATGTTCTTTATGAAATTGGATGATCAGATAATAAACCAAAAGGTCTCCAGAACCATATATAGTCTTAAAATGTCTTACTGAAACCATACAATAGCCTGAGAGAGTTAGAATAGGCATTATTATTAATCTTTTTTTTTCTATTGGGGAAACAGGTTGAGTCACAAGTAAGTGACAGAGCCCAAAGTCAAATCTGAGTTTCTTTCTTAGGGCTGAATGTAACACCCTTTTCCCAGCACCAGCACCACTTGTTAGAAATGCAAATTTCCAGCTCCATCCCAAACCTACTAAATCAGAAAGTCCGAGGGTGGGGCCCTGCACTGTGTATTTTAAATCCTCCAGGTAATTCTGGTAGTTGCTGAAGTTTGAGAACCCCCTGCATGGTGCCACACTTCTTTTATCTGTTAACACCACTTCTTGCACATCTTAGACATACGGTCTTAGACTTCTTACACATTGTGGTCATTTTTGCTCCTTTATGGAGGAGCAAGATGTTTCTAGAGATGGGAGTCAGGATTTAACAAATCAACATTAAGAAATGCTGCTAGGCTAAAACGTACGGAGTGTTAAAAGTTAGAGTTTCTAAACGCTGTTTGTTGAACCTTGGCACTCCTCTTTCTCTGAAGGCAGCGCACTAAGTTGGACAGAGCCCTGCGGAGTCCACAGAGCGGGGTTTGTGTCCCAGCTCCACTGCTCACCACCGCGTGGCCGCCAGCAAGCAGTGTGACCTCAGAACCTCAGCTTCCTCACCTGAAGTTGAGGCCAGAAGAATTAAATGAGCTGACATATAATAGTAGTCGGCATTTATTGAACACTTACTCTGTGACAGTACTATTCTAAATATATATAAATATTGGTTAAGATAATTGTTCCTGCATAGAGTAGATGCTTAATAAATGTTGGTTCACTTTCCTTCCAGTCCGAGAATAACCTGACTTGCCGCCTCCAAGGGTGATGGATAGAGGTAAAGAGTGTTCAGCAGTGACCCTTGAGCTTGGATTGAGTTCCAGAAAGACTGTGCTGGGAGTTTGGGAATACTTAGCCATGTGTAGCCACTAAATAGATTGAAGCTCTTGTCAAAGGAAAAAAATTAAAACAACTTTTAAGTGAAGTGGTTCACATTTAGAGCATAACCCTTTCTAAGCAGAATCCCTTCAAAAAGATGCTGACAGCGTTAGTCCAAGACAGTTGGCAGACCTAGAGTGACCTTTCAAACTTGCAAGGGACCCCTACACTCACTCTTACCCCCGGGTCCTGGGGCCTGTCCTCTCAGCCAGAGACTAACCAGGGAGTCCCAACCCCGGTGGCTCGACTTACCGAAGGCAATGTTCTGAACTCCTCAGTGCCTCAAACTGGGGTTGATACAGGACCCTCCTCCCGCTCATCCTCTTTCATCCTTCCTCCCCTACTAACTTTTTTTCCAGCGAACATTTGTGATTTGAGTGAGCATACCACAGAAACCCTTCCCCTAACTAAGCAGAGCCCCCTGCCCAGCTGTGAGGATGAGGTTCGGGGGAGGAACTCTGCCTCCTGCCCTGGCCCCAGGCCTGGCTGGGCTGGAATAGCTTTCCCACATGCTCGTTTCCACTGTCTCAAAACCCACTTGTAGGTGAAAAATTGTAGCTCTCTAAAGGATTCATGTATGAACTGTTTCATGTTATACCCCCTACACTGATAAAGCTGCAAATGCCACAGCCTAAAAATGCCAAGGCAGAGAAACACAGCTGAGTGGAACTGAAACTGCCGTGGGAGCCCCGGTGAGCTGCTTTGGGCATCGGAGATTGCGGTCTCATTGCACTGAAGGCAACCCTCTCCCGGCCCCGGCTGTGATGGGAGCTGAAGACAGGAAGCTCACTGGCCAGCCTACTGAGTTCCCTGCCTACACACCCACGAGCACTAACCCAAAGCAAGACCCAGCTGTCTCCCGTTGACGACATCCTAGTGCCTCGGTGTACGAGGCCTTGCATGATACGGCCCTGTTGCCTTTCCAGCCCTGTTCCCTGCCCTCTCTCCCTTGTGTCCAGTAACACCGAGCCCCTTTACCCACTAGGCTGACATGGGCCCTCTGTCCTCTCCACTGGGCAATGCACCCTTTACTTCTCTCCCTTGCTAATTTCTATTTATTGTTTTAAGGCTTCAAGATGATTTCAGCATCTTTTTCTTCAGGAAAATGTTCCTGAAGAAACTGTTCCGCTTCTCTCCAGCGTTTTTGGATTAGGTGCCTCCCTTGTGCTTCTATAGCACAGCATTTGTGAACCTCCCTGCGTGTCCTTAGCACGATGCTTCCTCGTTACCTGTTTGCTCGTGTCTTCCCCCTAAGAAGGGTGGTGTCTTACTAGTTTTTTTATCTACAGGGAAGTACGTGCTCAGCAAATATTTGTTGTAGTGTAAACGTTGCTAGCAAACAACTCAGATGTCCACTGACAGGTGAATGGATGAACAAAGTGTGGTATCCATACCATGGAACACTTCAGCAATCAAAAGGAAGAGACTCCTGAAACAAAGACTGTATGTGCTGTACAATCCGTGTACATGAAATTACATAAAAGGCTAAGTGTGTTGATAAAAAGCAGATGGGTGGTTTTCAAGGACCAAGAGTTAGGGGAGAGAAATCACATCAACAACAAAAAGAAATGGCAACTTTTCCTCTGGAGACTAAGGGTGAACGAAGTCCAAGAGTGTTACCTTGTAGCTACTATCCCAGCCTCTTAACTTTGCTCCTGACTCCCATGGTTCTTGCTGGGAAGTCGCTTAGCTCTTCTCGAGGCCTCAGGCTAATAAGAGCCTGCCCGTGTGCAGCCAGTGCAGCGGGGTGCTTAGGAATATGGGCAGGCTCTGGGATCAACATCCGCCCGAGGCCCGGCTCCACTACTGACCACCTGTGTGATCTTGGTCAGGTTACTTGACCTCTGTTTGCCTTGTTTCCTAAATTATAAGATGGGATAATAATACCTACTTCATAGATAGTGGGGATGATAAGAATTAATACACAGAATGTACTCAGCACACAAGTCTGGCATATGGGAAGTTCTCAGTAGATGCTTGCTATGCGGAAGTCGTTACCCAAATCATCCCTGTGAAATAAATGCTCACTATTTTCTTTCACCCTTCAGTGTTCTTTCCCCTGGAAACTTGAGGTGAAGAATGGCCCTGAGCTCAGCCCTAAGCTACGCCCTCATTCGCCCTCATTCCAGCCTTGCTCTAGTGATGCCCAGTCAGGCACGGGCCCTGGAGGGGTCTGGGGCTTTCTGTGGCTCCTGGCGCCCCGGGCCTGCTGCCCTCTTGTGGGAGACCCTCTCCCAGCTGCAGCCGCCTGGGGATGCGGATAAAGGGAGGCAGAGCTGCGACTCGTTACCCACCGTGTCCCCAACACCAAGCATGGTGCCTGGCACACAGAAGGTGCTTAATAAATGCAGAATTGTTGAGGAAGTGACCCAGTGGGACCGGGACTGTAGGTGCCCCGGGGCTCACAGCACTCACCACGGTGTTCTCACACCACAGAGTCAGGCAGTAGTTTTTCACCTGGCCCCAGGCATCCTTCATGTTACCTTCTGCAAGCAGCACCAGCTCGTTGCTGTCCCGAGGCCGATAGCTGCGGGAGGGCGAGGAAGAGCCGGGTCAGAGAAGCCCACAAACCACCCTCCTCTTCTGTCCTCCGCGCCTGCACAAAGGCCCTGGCGGTCCCTCTCACTGCTGCCTGCACGGAGCTCACCTCAGCTTCGTGTGTTCTGGAAGGAGCTCCAGTTTCTTAGCCACCATGTTCCGGACCTGGCTGTAGGGGAGGCCAGGCTGCGTCTCCATGACCACCGTGTACTTGTAGTGCACCTTGAGCGTGTAGGGCACCGGGATGCTGAGCTTCACGTCCTGCGGGCAGGAAGCAAAGGTCCCTGAGGTCTGCGGCTTTCTCTCGGCAACATCCCAGGTCACTGTGGCGTACGTGTTGGGCAGGAGTGCCCCGCCCATGCAGCGGGGGGGGGGGCACACGGCACCCCGAAAGGCCTTCCGGGGTCCTCTCGCCCAACTTCTGCTGGGACAGGAATTCCTGCTGAGCAAGCTCTGACCCACCAGCTAAGAGTAGCAAGAAGTGTGTGCAGGGGGCTGGGGGGAGGTGCGAGGGGGTCCCTAGCCCCATGGACTGCGTGTAAGGTGGCAACTGGCTCAACCTTCCGGGGGACTCTTTCTATAATCCAGAGAGACATGCCACAATTGATAGCCCGGACTCCTTCCTCTTCTGCCACTTGTCACAATACAAGGAAAAAAGGTTACCTTGAGCTCTTCTTTTTGTCTCTGACCTGAATGGAAAAGGTAGGGAGTAAAGCAAAAGAAGATGGTGAATGAAACTCTTGGCCAGCCCTGCCATACCCAGAATGGAAACCTCTTAGAACAGGGTACCCAGCTTCTTACCTTTAATCTGTGGGTATTATTAACTTAGTGACTATGGGGAAAATCTCACTTTGGGGAAGTGTGAAGGTCATGAACAGACCCGGTCTCTCCTTCCAGGGAGCCTGTAGGTAGTTATCTAAGGACCAGCACAGCCCTACCAGCCCCCAGGGTGAGCAGGGACCCAGGGTCAGGTCAACCAGAGGGATCCGAAGCAACAAGAGCAGGGAGTGGATGAACCAGGGGTCACAAGAAGAAATACTAGAACCCCTTATTTTCACCTAATCCTTTATTTTTGTTTATGCTTTCTAAAGTGCATCATTATTATATTATTATACATTAATAATAGTATACATACATTTATATGTGAGAAGCATGTAGAAAGGTTTTTACTATAGGGGACAAAGAGACCCCTGATCTCCCACCCAGCTGATCATTAGAATAACTTGGGAAGTTTTTTCTAAAAATATAAATTCCCAAGCCCCATTCAAGTCCTGTAAAAACCAGACAAGGGCCTAGGAGTCTGTATGCACAAAAATCTTTCTGGGTTGATATGTGATCTTTGATGAGCCCCTTGACAGCAAAGATAAAAATGGAAAAGCAGTCAAGGACATTTAAGGGGAGCAATTGGAACACGAATATGGAATATACAAATACAGTATGATTAATGCTAAATGTCCTATATATGATGATTGTATTGTGGTTATCCAGGAAGTGTTTATTCTTAGGAGATCCCTGCTGAAATGCAGGGTGAAATGTCATGAGCTATAACTTATTTTCAAGTGACTCAGGGGGGAAAACTAGAGAGAGAAAGGAGCAGGGCAAGGAGATGGTGCAAAAGTTAACAACTGGTAAATTTAGTGGAAGGTATCTCTCTGTTTTATTGTACTCTCAACTTTTCTGTAGGTTTAACATTTTTCAAAATAAAAATGGGGCTGGGCGCAGTGGCTCACACCTGTAATCCTAGCACTCTGGGAGGCCAAGGCAAGAGGACTGCTTGAGCTCAGGAGTTCGAGACCAGCCTGAGCAAGAGCGAGACCCTGTCTCTGCTAAAAAAAAAAAAAAAAAAAAAATAGAAAGAAATTAGCTGGACAACTAAAAATAACAGAAAAAATTAGCCAAGCATGGTAGCTCATGCCTGTACAGGAGCCTGAGGCAGGAGGATCACCTGAGCTCAGGAGTTGGAGGCTGCAGTGAGCTGTGATGACAACACCTCACTCTACCCAGGGCGACAGAGTAAGACTCTATCTCAAAAAATTAAAACAAAAATAAAAATAAAAAAGGGGGCAGGTGCATCCCAAGTGATTTTGATGACTAGGTGGGCATGGCACTCGTTGATCTAGAAACTGGATAAACCACCTATTCAGCACATCTCCACCGAGCGCCTATTCAGAATCTGCTTCGGCTGCGCTAGTGACCAAAAGCTCATTACTTCCCAAGACGGCTCTCTCCACGTCACGAGAGATGAAAGAAAATTTCCCTTTCTCCTCTGCCTGTTGGTTCCTTGTCCACCCCTCGGGGCTCTGCAGAGCAGTGTCTTTTCCAGATCCAGCTCCTCAGACATTTGAAAAGAGCCCCCCACAGCCCTCTGAGGCAGACACGTACAGTGACTTCCATCTTCCCTGAGACATGCTGCACCTAGCAATCGAGGGCTTTGGCGGCTGCCAGAGTCGGGACACTCACGGTCCCTCGGAAGCAGCTGCCCTGACCCGGCGCGTGGGCCTTGTGGAGCGGCAGGGAGGGAGGCACCGAGTGCACGTCTGGGGAGGGCGGCTGGTTCTGGGGTTGTATGGTCATTAGCTGAGTGGCATGTTGGGAGAAGAAGCAACCAGAATTTCCTGGAAGGCTGGGTCGGGACGCGGCCTGGAGTGCGCCTGCGCCCAGGCCTAGGGGGTGGCTCTGGGGCCACTAACCTGGTGACGGCTGGGGTCTTCCCGGGGCACTGGAGCTAGGAGGAGCTGGGATGTCAGGCTCCGGGGAGCTGTCCTCCTGGAGGTGGCAGGAAGAGAAGGTCAGGACCTTCATACAGTCAAAGTTCTCAGGCAGGGGTGAGGGCAGAGAGAGGTCCTGCAGACCCCCATGGAAATGATCCAGATGCAAATCACTTCCTGGAAGCTGTGGGGGTGCGGGAGGGGAGTGGGAGTGACTTGGGGAAGACTAAGGAAAATGTTGGTTAAAAGGAGAAGGCAGGGTCAGCCTAATGGAAACAAAATCGTAGTAGAAATAAGAATCCTAATCCTAATCCCAATCCTAAAAGGGCCCGGCCACCGTATCACCCTCTCGGCCATACTGGAAACCCACTGGAGGTGGGGAGGGACGGAACTCTTGTCCCAGCTGCAAAGGGCACCGAGAAAGGAAAACTCCCGCTTCTCGGCTGCACGGCAGGCACGTGCAGCTTTCCAGAGTATCTGCACCTAGTGACTCTGACCGGGGAGGGCCGAGCTGACGCACAGCTGGGCGCACAGTCTGGAGAGAGAGGGCTCCACTGCCGCCGCGGGATCATTTACAGGGCTGCTCAGATCCAGCGAAGGCAGCTGACTCTGCAGGCCTGGCAGGAGCGCAGGCCTTGCAAGGGGCCGGGGGAGGGGGGGGCGTTGGCGTTTTTGGAGGCTTGGTTGGCAGGGCCCCTTTGGCTTCGTTGTTTTCCGGCGGTTTTTTTTTTTGCTTTGGCTTTGTTCCGGCCGGGGCTTGGCTTGTTTTTCCGGTTGAGGGGGCCCCTTTTGGGAGGACCCCAGGCTTCTTTTGTTGCGGGTTTTGTTTCCCCCTTTTCCCTTGCCCGGCGGGGTTCCCGGGGTTGTTGGGCCCGTTGGGCCTTCCGGTTTTTTCGGTTTGGCCCTTGGGTTTTTCCTTCTTCCCTTTTTTGGTTCGGGCGGTTGTTGCCCTTGGGGCCGGTTCGGGCCCGGGGGGGTTGGGTTGTTGTGGGTGCTTTTTCCCGGTTGTTGCCCCGCCCCAGGGGGAGGGTGCAGATGCCGAGGGAGATGGGTCAGGCCTTGGCATACGTTACCTGGGGCTGCTGCTGAGGATGGATGCGCAGCTCAACAGGTTCCAGGTAGTTGCAGGGCACGAGCCCCTTCTGCAGCGTGATGTCACAGAATGAGGAGGGAAAATAGAGACACGCTGGTCAGTGCCCACACCACGGAGCAGGCCGAGTCGTGGGGGAGGGATGGTGCAGAGACAAGAAAACCTGCAGCTCTGTAAATGAGGCAGCAGGAGCAGGTACTGTTCCGCAGGAAGCTCTGCCCCGGCCACCAGGGTCCCCGCCCAGCCCACCACCCCCAGTCTCTGAATACCTGCCCATTGAACATGACGGTGGCCCAGTTATCGTTGCCCTTCTTCAGCACAAAGACAATGTTCCCCGGCATGACCTGGAGCTCCTCCTTTGTCTCGGGCACAAACCCGAACAGCACGCGGTGAGCCTCCCCTTCCAGAGCCCTGCAGGCGGTAGACACGAGATCGGCCCGCTGTGGGGCTTGGACCACAGCCCCCACGCGGTGAGGGGACGAGCACAGTGGACTTGGGGCCAGGGACTTGGCTCCAGGCTCACTCTCACTCCACAGCCAGCAGCCCCCTGCCCCTGACCCAGCTGCTCGCCTGCCTGGGCTCCTGAGAGGTCTAGCGAAGAAACTGCATGTGAGCATGACCATGACCATGACCACATACGCAGTGGGACAAGAATAAAGGAAAGACCAAGGCAACACTAGATAAGGAGGCCTTCTAGTCCTCGCCCTCCCCTCCCTCTGAGGAGACGGGTTCCTGGCTGGGCAATCTCGGCCGGCTCCCAGACCTGAGCTGGGGTGGGTCGGGGACTGCGGCCAGGGCTTGGCACAAGGCGGAGGTCAGGTGCAGGCTCGGGCCAGGGCGGGGAGGGCTGCAGGGCCGGGGCCAGCTGCAGAGCCCAGAGGTTGTGCCCGGGGCTCTGAGGCTGCCTAGCTGCTGGCGTCAGGCCTCTGGGCTCTGCGGTGTCTGATGGTCCCACTTTGGAACCAATGACTGAGAATGGCTTTAAGGCCTCGGAGGAATTAGGATCTCAGGCTCCCTCCGTTCGCTCCCCACTTGGTTACGTTCCCCTCAGCCCTGGCTTTGTTCCCAGACAGCCTGTCCACCCCTGCAGCGAGCAGGACTCTCCCTGCTCGGGGAAGGAGCCCGGCCAGCCCCTCCGTGTGCTGTCGCTGCTTTGTTACTTTCTTCATCTTTTCTTAACTTCTGGGGTGCGGGGGGAATTGGGCTTGCTTCATGGCTGAGAGGGAATTCTTGAGAAAGCTGTAGGTTGTGTCACTCTTTGCTTCTCATTTTACAGAAGAATAACTTCCTTTTCTTGGGTCCTTCCCCTTATTTCTTCAGAAAACATGCGCCAGTAGGGCACATGGGACGCCATTCTAGCCTCCTGACGCCAGAGCCTCCTCCCCTCCGTGCAAAGCTCACCTCTGGCCTCAGGCCAGCAGCCTGGCCCCCCGGGCGGCTGTTCCCCGGGACACTGCTGCCCCCGGCAACAAGCCCTCCCTATGCAGTGCATGCTGACATGGGGACTCTGGGACACCACGTAGCTGCAGCCAGGGCCCCCGGTCAACCCCACCGCAGCCGAGGCCCACCCCCACTGCACCATTCCTGTCTAACCTTGAAAACGGAAGAAGCCAAACATTCTAGAAAAATCCAACAAGATTTAGGCCCTGCCCCCAGTTTCATCTTCTTCACCCCCTGTGTTGCCATCAATTCACTCGTGGAGCGTGGATGTTCTGCATACGGAGGGGTCTAAATCTGACTTACCTGAAGATCTCTGGGGTTTTGGGTCTGGGTGGAGGCTCGGCTGCCTATTTTCACATGGAGGAAAAATGAAGAGGGACAGGGAGGGACAGGGAGGGAGAGAGAACAGGCCTTTAATGGTAATGTGAGCACTCTTCCAGACCACCACCCCAAAGCCTGCGTCTCTGACTGGCGGGGACACTGTCTGGGGAAGGCGCCGCATGCGGACATGCTGGAAAGTTCGCCTCCCCAGCCGCCCCCGGAGCACGTCTCGCCAGCACCAGCACGGCAGTCCCCAGTCCCCGGTGGGCGCCGGCTTGGACGGGGCTGGCTGTCTCAGAGCAGCACGGAGCCAGGAGGATGCTTTTGACCTTGAGCTCTGTCTCTTTCTCAGGACGGTTTCCAAAGGCTGTTCTATAATTAATGTCTGCTGTGTCGCATGACGCTTCTGAGTATTTAAAATCCACGCAGGGTCCACCGACCAGGCAAGACTGCCCTCCCAGCGCGCGGGCGCCCTGCTGTGCCGAGCACGGGGGCCAGGGCTGCGGCTCCTCTGCCCTCTGTGGTCCCCGCTGAGCCGAAGCCCAGGCCCCCAGCAAGGCTGCCTTCAACGTCACGGGGAAGACACAGATCCGGGATGTAGGCGAGGGCTGCCCTTCCTTCCTCTCTGTCCATCCGCCCTCCAGAGCCCCAGTGCGGGCCACACCCTGGGCCAGCAGGTGACCTCCCGCCCGGGCAGGCCGGGCTGTCCTGGGCAGACCAGGACATCCAGGTCGTCCAGCTCATCCGAGACCCCTTCTCCCAGCCCAGCGTCCACTGAAACTGGTTCGCTCTGGGCACGCTGCCTGCGTCCCTGAGGGAAACTGGGGCACGCGGGCAGGTGGATGGAGCCGGAGAGCTCAAGGCCTCAGGCCCCAGGCCACACAGGGCTGCCCCCAGCAGCCCCGGTAGCCGGGAGGAGGCTTGGTGAAGAAGCTTTCCATAGGCCGGGGGCGGTGGCTCACGCCTGTAATCCTAGCACTCTGGGAGGCCGAGGCGGGCGGATTGCTCAAGGTCAGGAGTTCGAAACCAGCCTGAGCAAGAGCGAGACCCCGTCTCTACTATAAATAGAAACAAATTAATTGGCCAACTAATATATATAGAAAAAATTAGCCAGGCATGGTGGCGAATGCCTGTAGTCCCAGCTACTCGGGAGGCTGAGGCAGGAGGATCGCTTGAGCCCAGGAGTTTGAGGTTGCTGTGAGCTAGGCTGACGCCACGGCACTCACTCTAGCCCGGGCAACAGAGTGAGGCTCTGTCCCAAAGGATAAAAAAAGCCTTCCATAGCTTGTGCTTCAGTTTTCTGAGAGAATGGTCAGGGCTTCAGGAGCGATGACTAGCAGATCTCTTAGAACTTAGAGCCGTGGTGAGTGGCATTTGGCTTCAGAGGACCTGGCACTACCCTATTTCCTGAGCAGCCGGGTGGGGCGCCCGGGGCTGAGACGGGAGGCGCGTTTGGAGGAGCCCTGACAATGAGGCGACTGGGCACAAACATTCTCCCCAGTGAGATGCCTCACGAAAGCACTAGAGACCCAGCCCCTCGACGAAGGCCAGGGCTGCCTCACCTGTGGCTGCAGAGGGGCGAACCCGGAGAAACTGTCTTGATCCACCACAGACGCCACCACCTGGAACCGAGGGCAGGAGGGCGTGAGGCTCTGCTGGCACTGTGGCCCCGACCTTCTGTGTTTGTCCCCAAGATTCCCTCCCCCCTCACACCCTAGGCCCATTCTCACTCGTGCCTGGCTTCACAGGTGGACAGTGGTTCTGGATTAGAAGTTCCAGCAGCCGCAGAAACTAGCAATCCTCCCACCCCTGCTAGCCCAGCCTTGCTCTTTCTCTCTTAAAAAAATTTTTTTGTTGAGGTGCAGTTTGTATAACATCAAAGCAACTACTTTACAGTGAACGGTTCAGTGGCATTTAGCACATTCGCAATGATGTGCAACAACTACCTCTGTCTAGTTCCAAAACATTTTTTGTCACCCCAAAGACAATCCTGTACCATTAAGCAGTTAGTCCACACTTCTCCTCCCCCTAATCTGGCACCCACCAATCTGCTTTCTATCTCTGTGGATTTACCTATTCAAAACATTTTATATAAATGGAATTATACTACATGTGGCCTTTCGTGTCTGGCTTCTTTGACATAGCATAATACTTCCAAGGTTCACCCGTGTCAGAGCATGTGTCAGTACTCCATTCCCTTTTTATGGCCAAGTAATATTCCATTGTAGGGATATATCCCATTTTGCATTCCTCCACTGATGGATTTTTGGGGTGTTTCCATTAACCCGGGCTCTCTTGACCATGGCTACTGTGCCAGACCCAGCCCCCAGCCATCATGCAATGGAAGCCCTACAAATGTGGCGAAGTCACATGTGGTTTTGGAAGGGGGCTGCTGGCGTCCTTTGGGTCCTGGCTGAAAGGATTTAAGACCTAGATTCAGAAGGAGTCTCATTTAAGAAGGGGTCTAAACACGGGGCTGTGGAAGTGGGAGTGCGTTCCCCGGCACACTGAGACATGGACGCCAGACAGCACTGGGCCGAGAGGGGCCGGTGCTCGTCCCTGTCCCTAACATGTTCTCCCCACATTTAGTGAGCCCTTGGAGCTGTGCTCTCTTCCTGTGGCCCATTCCCCAGGACTCCCCTCCTGTGAGTGAGCCTGTGGCTCTCGCCGGCTTGGCTGGGAGGGAGGGGCGGGAGGAGGCTGGAGGAATGAACTGGAAGCGCTTGCCCCCCTTCGGCCAGACCTCGGCACGTCGGTGAGTCTCGTTGCCGTCCCAGGGCCAGGGCCGCAAGGGAGAGCCCCCTGGTCCAGAGTCCCCCGCCCCTGCTCCCCGCGGCCCAGGCCCAGGAGACGCCGGGCAGTCGAGGGAGCCCACCTACCGTAGCCTTGCCCAGGTAGTCCTTCTTGGCCAGCTGGGCCACCTGTCGCTCGTTTGGTCGGAACAGCCTGCCCACTGGGATCACCACCGGCTCGTACAGCTTCTGCTTCTGCAATGCAGAAAGCGCAGTGTCTCCCGCTCTGAAGATGGGGTGGCGTTGCTTGTCCTGCCGCCCCCACCGACCAGACGCATGGAGCCACTGAGACAACCGCGTCAAAGCACCGTTGCCGGATTCGAAAGGACCCATCTTGTTATTAACATGCCTCTAGGCTGCTAAAGTAGGCGCAGTAGGTTCCATATCACCGCACGCTGAGCTGCGTGGACGCCGGTTGGTGCCACTGCCCAGCACCCTGCATTCCTAGGGACTGTCCCCACTGTGTGTGTGACAGTGGGGTTCTCTCACAGCGCAGGGAGCACCCCTGCCACCACAAGGGTGGCCGGGACCCACACCAGGCTCCCGACGGTGCTCTCTGGGGACTGCTGTCTGCTGACGTGGATAAGCATTCAAAGACCGACTCAAGCCTCTTCTTCCTGGTCTTTTTAAATCGAATTTAAAACTAGCTTCGTTCCCAAATGTGCTCGGACTATGGCTAATTTTCACCGTTCATGCATAGAATCAATGCATTTTTGTGGAAGGCTGTCATGTGCCCAGCACTGTACCTGGCTCCAAGAACTCACTGGTGACCGAGCAGATGTGGTCTCTGCTTCTTGGTGCCCAGAGGCTGCACTGCGCCACGCCAGCCTCCAGCGCCCTGTCCCCCGCGGCTGCCTCGCTCTGAGGCCGGTGTGACACAGGGCCCTGCTGCCCCACGCTCTAGGCCTCAGCTTCTCACACACGCGCAAGATCTTACATGCAACTGTACCCGAAGATCAATGTTACCCAGAGCTCACAGTAAGAAAAAGCACCACGGTTACGGTTTCTCGATTCCACGTCCCCTGAGCCAACCGCGAATCCAATGACACGCTCTCACGCCCTGCGCCACCCACAGTGTACTTACCCAGACACACTCCATGGCCTTGTCGATTTTGGAATGTCTGGGCTCGGACTTCATGCTCGAAGCCAATGCTAACTGTTCTTCAGCCTTTTTCCATTCCTCCTTCTTGGCGTACATGAAAGCAATGTTGTATAACACCTAGAAAGGGACAGACCGAGGCATAAAACTTGAGACTACTCCAAATCAAAGTGCCAGGGAAGGGCTGACATGTGTACTCTGGGAATGTTGCCTGGTAACGTTTCTCTCTCGGCTCTCCTGGGAAAATCTAAAATATCGCACGATTAGTCTTGCTATCGAGTCACATCAAGCACAAGCATGGTGTTAAGAAAGCGTCCTGTAATGCACAAAAATCCAACACCATGTGCATTCTCCAACAGCCAAGTAAGGTCAGCCGGGGACAAAGCTACTGTGTTGTTTTGGCGTAGAGAAGAGTGACTTGATGGGGCTCTGCAGAGCAGTGTCTTTTCCGATCCAGCTCCTCAGGACATTTGAAAAGAGCCCCCACAGCCCTCGTGAGGAGACACTCGTACCAGTGACTTCCATCTTGCCTGAGACATGCTAGCCCTAGCAATCGAGTGGCTTTGGGCGGCTGGCCGGAGTCGGACACTCACGGGCCCTCGGAAGCAGCTGCCTGACCCGGCGCGTGGGCCTTGTGGAGCGGCAGGGAGGGACCGCGTGCACGCTGGAGGCGGCTGGTTCTGGGTGTATGGGTCTTAGCTGAGTGGCTAGGTTGGGGGAGAAGTAATCAACCAGAGATTTGCCTGGGAGGCTTTGGTCGGACGCGCTGAGTCGCTGCGGCCCATGGCCTAGGGTGGCTCTGGGCATAACCTTGGTGAGGCTGGGGTCTTCCCCGGGGCACGGGAGCTGAGGAGGTAGCTGGGATGTCAGGCTCCGGGAGCTGTCCTCCTGGAGGGTGCAGGATAGAGAAGGTCAGGATATCCGTTCATAACAGTCATAAGTTCTCAGGCAGGTGGTGAGGGCAGAGATGGTCCTGCAGACCCCCATGAAATGACCAGATCTGCAAATTCACTCCTTGGAAACGTGTGGGGGTGCGGGACGGAGTGGAGTGACTTTGGGGGAAGACTAAGGGAAAATGTTGTAAAAGGAGAAGGCAGGGTCAGGCTAATGGAAACAAAATGTAGCTAGAAATAAGACATCCTTAATCCTTCAATCCCATTCTAAAAGGCCCGGCCACCCGGGTTATCACCTCTCGCCATACTGAAACCACTGGAGTGGTGTGGGAGGGACGGAGACTCTTGTCCCAAGCTGCAAAGGCACGAGAAAGGAAAAGACCTCCGCTTCTCGGCTGCACGCAGGCACGCTGCAGCTTTCCAGAGTATCGCCACCTAGTTTTTTTTGACTCTGACGGGAGGCCGGAGCTGACCGCACAGCTGGGCGCACAGTCTGGAGAGGTTAGAAGGGCTCCACTCCGCCGCGGATCATTTACAGGCCTGCCTCAGATCCAGCGAAGTGCACGACTCTGCAGCCTGGCAGGAGCGCAGAGCTTGCAAGGCGGCGTGGGGAGGGCGGGCAGTGGCAGTTTTAGAAGCATGGCTGGCAAGGCCCACTTAGACTCAGTGCTCTACAGCAGGTATTTTATTTGCTGTGGCATTGCTCCAGCCAGCGCATGGACTGCTCTTCCAGGTGAAGAGGACACATCTGGGAAGAACCCAAGCCTCCTGTGCTGCAGCTTTGCTTCCCACGTCTCCCCTGACCAGCAAGGAGTCACAGGGTGGTACGGACCAGTGGGACCTACAGATGTCTCCGCTTGGCACCTGGGCTTGTCCCTCATCCCCTGTTTGGCTCAGGCAGCTGATGCCACTCGAGCCAGCTCAGGCCCAGGGAGCGTGCGGTCGTGGCGGCGCCTCTTCCACGCTGCTGCCCCGCCCCAGGGGCGAGGGTGCAGATGCCGGAGGGAGATGGGTCAGGCCTTTGGCAGTACGTTACCTGGGGCTGCTGCTGAGGATGGGATGCGCAGGCTCAACCGAGTTCCAGTAGTTGCAGGCACGAGGCCCCTTCTGCAGCGCGATGTCACAGAATGAGGAGGAAAATGAGACAGCGCTGGTCATGCCCACACCACAGCCAGGCCGGAGGTCGTGTGGGGAGGGATGTGCAGAGACAAGAAACACTGCAGCTCTGCTAAGAATGGAGGCAAGGCAGGGAGCAGGTAACTGCTTGCGCAGGGAAGCTCTGCCCCGCCACCAGGGTCCCGCCAGCCACACCACCCAGGTCTCTGAATACCTGCCGCATTGAACATGACGGTGGGGCCCAGTTATCTTGCCTTCTTCAAGCACAAAGACAATGTTTCCCCGGCATGACCTGGAGTCCCCTTGGTCTCGCGGCACAAACCCGAACAGCCACGCGGTGGAGCCTCCCTTCCAGAGCCCTGCAGGCGTAGCAACGAGATCGCCCGCTTGGTGCGCTTGGACCCGCCCCCACGCGGTGTGGGTACTGGAGGACGAGCACAGTGGACTTGGGGCCAGGACTGGCTCCAGCTCACTCTCACTCCACAGCCAGCAGCCCCCGATGCCCTGACCCAAGCTGCTCGCCTGGCCTGGGTCCTGAAGAGGTTCTACGGAAGAACTTGCATGCGAGTCATGACCCGGATGACCATGCACCACATACGCAGTGGGACAAGAATAAAGAAAGACCAAGGCAAACACTAGATAAGAGGCCTTCCTATCCTCCCCTCCCTCCTTCTTGAGGAGACGGGGTTCCTGCTGGGCAATCTCGGGCGCTCCAGACCTGAGCTGGTGGGGGTCGGGGACTCGGCCAGTTGGCACTAGAGGTCAGGTCAGCTCGGGGCCAGGCGCGGGAGGCTGCAGGCGGGCAGCGCGAGGAGGTGTGCCCGGCTCTGGGAGGCTGCCTAGCTGCTGGCGTCGGCTCTTGGGCTCTGCGGTGTCTGATGGGTCCCACTTTGGAACCAAGCTGGAGAATGGCTTTAAGGCCTCGAGGAATTAGGATCTCAGGGCTCCCTCCGGTTGCTCCCCACTCGGTTACGTTCCCTCAGCCCTGTTTTGTTCCCAGAGCAGCCTGTCCACCCTGCAGTGCGAGCAGGACTCTCCCTGCTCGGGGAAGGAGCCCGGCCAGCCCCTCCGTGTGCTGTCGCTGCTTTGCTTACTTTCTTCATTCTTCTTATAACTTCTGGGTGTTGCGGGGGGAATTGGGTTGCTTCGATGTGGTAGATGGGCATTTGGAAGAAAGTGTTAGGTTTTGTCACTCTTTGCTTCTCATTTAAGAAGAATAACCCTTTCTTGGGTCTTCCCTCTATTTCTTCAGAAAACATGGCAGTAGGCACATGGGACGCCATTCTAGCCTCCTGAACACCAGAGCCTCCTCCCCTCGGTGCAAAGCCCTCACTCGGCTCCAGGCGCAGCTGCGGCGGCGCTCCCCGGCCGCTGGCCCCATGCATCACAACCTCCTATGGGCTGCGTGCATGCTGAACATGGGACTCTGACAACCACGTAGCTGCAGCCAGGGGCCCCCGTCAGCCCCACCGCGCCGAGCCCACCCCACGCACATTGTCCTAATACTTGAAAACGGAAGAAGCCAGACATCAGAAAATCGAACAAGATTTAGGCTGCCCCAGTTTCATCTTCTTCACCCTGTCCTATCAATCATCTGAGCAGTGGATGTTCTGCATACGGAGGTCTAAATCTGGAGCTTACCTGAAATCTCTGGGTTTGGGTCTGGGTGAGGCGTCGGCTCCTATTTTTCACATGGAGAAAAATGGAAGAGGACAGAGCGGGCAGGGAGGACTTGGGAAAAACACCTAATGGTAATGTGAGCACTCTTCAGACCACCACACACAAAGCCGTCTCTGACTGGCGGACACTTCTGGAAGCGGCCGCACTGCGGCACATGCTGGAAAAGTTCGCCTCCCAGCCGGCCCCCGGGGCACGTCTCGCCAGCACCAGACGCAGTCCGCCAGTGGCCCGGCCGCGCGGCTGGAGGGGCTGCTGGTCTCAGAGCAGGCACGAGCCAGGATGATGGCTTTGACCTTGAGCTCTGTCCTCTTTCTCAGGACGCGTTTCCAAAGGCTTGTCTAGTAATTGAATGTCTGCTGTGTCGCAGACAGCTTCTGAGTATTTAAAATCCACTAGGCAGCCGACCAGGCAAGACTGCCCTCCAGGCGCGCCCTGCTGCCGCCGAGACGGCCAGGGCTGCGCTGCCTCTGCCCTGTGCGTATCCCGCTGACCGAAGGCCAGGCCCCACAAGCTCCTTCAACGCACGCGAAACACAGATCCGGATGTAGGCGGAGGCTGCCCTTCCTTCCTTCTGCCCGTCGCCCGTCCAGAGCCCCAGTGCGGGCCACACCTGGCCAGCAGGCGACCTCACGCCCGGGCAGGGCCGGGCTGCTCCTGGGCAGACCAACATCCAGTGCTCCAGCTCATCGAACCCCTTCTCCCAGCCCAGCGTGAGTGAACTGGTTCCGGCTGGGCACGACTGCCTGGTCCTGAAAAAACTGCACGGCAGGGATGAGGCCGAGAGGCTCAAGCTCACCCCAGGCCACACAGCCCCCCACATCCTCCGGGGCTAAGATCAGCTTTCCTCTAGCCGGGGCAGTGGCTCACGCCCTGAATCTAAGCCTTCTGGCTGAGCCGCGTGATTGCTCAAGGTCAGGAGTTCGAAACCACCCTGGACAAGAGCGAGACCCTCTCTACTATAAATAGAAACAATTAATTGGCCAACTAAATATAAGAAAAAATTAGCCAGGGCATGGTGGCGCATGCCTGTAGTCCCAGCTACCTCGGGGAGGCTGAGGCAGGAGGATCACTTGAGCCCAGGATTTGAGGTTGCTGTGAGCTAGGCTGGACGCCACGGCACGCACTCTAGCGCCGGCAACAGAGTGAGGCTCTGTCCCAAAGGAAAAAAAAGCCGCCTCCATGTGGCTTCAGTTTTCTGAGAAATGTCAGGGCTCTCAGAGCGACATATGTGAGCAGATTCTTAGAACTTAGAGCGGTGGCGAGTGGCATTTGGCTTTAGAGGACCTGGCACTACCCCTATTTCCTGGGCAGCCGCGGGGCGCCCGGGCTGAGACGGGAGGCGGTTTGGAGGAGCCCTGACAATGAGGCGACTGGCACAACATTCCCAGTGAGATGCCTCACGAAAGCACTATAAGACCAGCCCTCGCGAAG